AAATTGCAACATCGAAAATTTTATCAAAACTTCAAACATTGTTTTCTCAAAAACTAAAAGTTTTTTTCAAAATGGGTTGGGTCATTGGAAAGAGGTCACTTTTATTAACACTTTGAGAGATTTTCATAGTCATATTCCAAAAAATGGATTTTATACGAATTTTTAAAACCGGATAATTGCTGGATATCCGTTCCACCACTAGTCTACAGCATATTGAAGTGCCTCAAAACTCATTAATTGACAACTTGCTGTTGGTTTCATTAACAAGTTTTCTGCAAGTAATAAGCTTTGAATGTTGCTACTACTTCTTGATTCATTGGCTGAATCAGAATAGTTGTATTTTTAGGCAGGCATTCAATTTTCACATCTTCACACAGTATAATATACTATTTAGAATTAACATCACGTAAGTTATACGTTTATGTCGATTTTTTAGAACATNAAACGGGTTGGTTCATTGGAAAGAGGACACTTTTATTAACACTTTGAGAAATTTTCATAATCATATTCCAAAAAATTGATTTTATACGAATTTTTAAAACTTAATCGGTGAAAATTGTAAAATTCGAAAAAATTTTCGATTATTTCAAAAATTTTTTTCTCAACAACTAAAAGTGATTTTTCAAAACGGCTTTTTGCATTAAAAAGAGGATACTTTGGTTAATAATTGGTGATATTTCCACAAGGATCCTTTAAGAAACTAATTTTATAGCGAATTTTGAAAATTATCGATGAAAATTGCAACATCGAAAATTTTATCAAAACTTCAAATATTGTTTTCTCAAAAACTAAAAGTTATTTTTCAAAACGGGTTGGTTCATTGGAAAGAGGACACTTTTATTAACACTTTGAGAAATTTTCATAATTATATTCCAAAAAATGGATTTTATACGAATTTTTAAAACCGGATAGTTGCCGGATATTCGTTCCACCACTAGTAATTGACAACTTGCTATCGGTTTCATTAACAAGTTTTCTGCACTACGTCTTGATCCATTGGCTGAATCAACATAGTTGTATTTTTAGGCAGGTATTCAATTTTCACATCTTCAGACAGTACAATATACTATTTAGAATTAACATCACGTAAGTTATACGTTTATTTCGATTTTTTAGAACATTTGTTTTAATATCAATAGAAAGAAAATGAATTAAAATTTTTTTCCAAGAGATCATCTTCAGGTGGTAGATGGATGATGTCAATTGAAGCAGGTCGACCAGCTGACGAATGGTATTCTGCGCATTTCATTTCATTTCACCATTCGATATCGCTCGGTCCTCGTCTTTCTCTTTGAACTCCATTCGAAACAGTATCCGACTTTAATATTCGGCGGCGCACTTCGCCGTAGAACACAGTCTACATCAGGCAGCAGGAGAACAGCAAAACCTGCAGCCTTGCCTCAGTCGACTTCCGTCTGTTGATCGAAGAGATCCGTACAAACTCTTCGTCGGTTCGTTCCAGTTCAACGACACTCTTTTAAAACCGACAACGGCCACGTGTTTTAACAAATTCATTTTAAATTTTAATTAATCAAGATGGTGTGATTAATCTTTTTGATGGAGATTAGTTTTTATTTTTTGAAGAAGTCGACTGGATATTTATAAAGGTTGTATTCGATTTTGATTATATCTTTATTTTTATTGATTTATAATAAAAGAAATATTGAGTTAACCAGATCATATGAGTTTCTCTTTAAAAATAACAAAAATGCACCGCGTGCTGCTGCTGCAGGATACGAGATAAAGCTAACAACTTGGAAAGTTTTTGCTAAGTTTGATAAACTTTCCGGGGAGAAGTTGTTCGGGTTAAAAGAGATAAAACTGAGCGCTTTAAAAATGTTATTGTCTTCACTAGATTATTCGAGTCTTTAAGAATTTTTTTTTCTAACAAGTTAAGAGAATTAATTTCATTTTTAAACCTTGTGTATAATATGTTTTAAACAAATTATGTTATAATAATATTTTGATTATGACCATAATCCTTGAATTTTATATATAACTTTTTTGTTATAGTTTCAATATTTTCATTTCCATCAAAATCAATAAACTGTGGTGAGAATTCCAGGGTAGCAAACAAAGTCAAAGAACTAAATAACCCGGAGAATCATAAAATATCCATAATAGCTTCGACTCAGATTCAGTTTCCGGGGTTTCCCATACATACCAATCAGGTAGGGGGATTTAATCCTCAAAAATAAATTCTTTTCATCTATACATATAAAAAAGATATTTTTTCCGTTCTTTTCATTAAACTTTAAACTATCATCTAAATATACTTTTTTTGGTTCAATAAAGAACGGGACGAGGATTCCAAGAATTTTTATAGGATTTTATAGGAGGGGAAGTTTTCCTTAACGATAGATAAATTCGCTAACACAAAATACTGCGAGACAGATCTCGTCTCGTGTCTCTGATTATCGTGATGCTTCTATCCTGATTAATCGAACTCGACGTGAAAATTCTCTTAAGAAAATTGGATGCAGCTTTTTAGAACAATGTAAAAGATAAAATCGGTTTCACGACAACTGATTTTACTGCACCTTTTACGATTGCTTATCCATTTTATGAGATCGAATTTTTATTGTTTGCAGAGATAATACTTTTTTAAGTTTTACTTCAAATTAATTTCGTTCTTTTAATATCGATGTTTTCAAATAATCAAGATAATATTTTGGGAAAAGGATTTTTTTTATTAAAAAGCTTATAATCCTTTTTAGTAGTATAGGACTTATTAGTTGCTTATATTGTGCAGAAGATTTCTTGGATGTCGTATTTTAATTATTATTCTTATGCATTTCTTTTCTGCTTTATCAATGATATCTTTGGTCTTATTACTGGCGTTAATTGTTAATATGTATCCATAGTGTAATACAGGTCTGCATATAGCTTTATAGATCTTCATTGCCGTGTTGGTGTGTATCCCTTTGTTTGTATAAGTTAGTGCTCGGAAATATTTTGCCCTTCTGATTGCTTCGTCTCTTTTGATTTTGTAATACTTGGATAGTTTTAAGGCGTTAGGTATTTAACGGAAGGATTTGGAGCTTTTTCACAAATGCGATGATTGAGAACCATGACTTGGAATTTTCCCAGATTGGGAGTAAGTCTCCATTTATGAAACCACTTCAATACTCTATTATATAGCATTTGTAAATTTGATGTGGCTTTGTCCAATATATTGCTATGTGAGATAAGCGTCGAGTCGTCTGCATATTGCAAGATGTAGAGGTTGAAATGATTAGGATCTTCTGCGTAGATATCATTGTATAAGGTGAGAGAACCCTGACGGACGCTTTGTTTAGGTGTGAAAAGGATAAAAAAATGCATCTATTAAAGTAATTATGTTTCTTGTGATGCCCATTTTTTCCATTTTGAATAACAATCCCATATGCGAAACTGTATCGAACTCTTTGTTAATGTCCAGGAACAAAGAAATAGTTTTCTTATTTAATTAGTGGTTCAGTTGGATGCTGTTTACAAGCAGAACTAACGCATGTATAGTAGTGTTGTTTAGTTTGAATCCAAATTGGTAAATCCGGATTGAATCGGGTTTGGGGGTAGCAATAATGCTACAGGTTTTAAATATATTCAGTATTTGTCTCGATTTTAAACAATAATTCATAGACTTATGTATGAATTTGTTTGTTGGAATCTTTTCCTGGGGATGAATTTTTTCCTTTATTGATGTGGTCCATGTATTCGTCTTCTTCAATATCGGTAATTGCCTCCGACTCAGTTGTATCTTTAATGAAATTTTTGTACCAATCTTCCACAATATTCTTGCTGTTGACGTCAAACAAAATATTTTCTTTTGGGCTAAACGCGATGTTAAAGTGTTTTGCTAATACATCGCATTTTTCTGGGGTTGTTTTGTGTTCTTTATCTTCCCATATTAACGGTGGAATTAACCTAGATTTGCGATACTTGGTAACTTTCTTAATTTTCTGCCAAAAGGATCGTCCTATTTTTGATGATTTTTTAAAAGAGATTATGTATCGTAAAAATTGAAAAATGTAACATCGTCAATAAACATATTTATCTCAAATTGTAATTGATATTTTCAAAAGCGGCCTTTTTCATTAAAAAGCTGATACTTTTTTGTATATTTCCTGAAAATTTCATAACGATATTTTTAAAAATCGATTTTTTACGATTTTTTAAAAAGTAATTGAGAAGTATCTTAACCTCAACATGACAAGTTTTAAAAATTGTTATCTCAAAAGCTAAATGTTATTAAAAAGTTTATAATCCGTTTTATAATTGGTGATAATTTTATAATGATTTATTAAAAAATGTATTTTTGACGATTTTTTGAAAAATATTGTTAAAAGTAAAAATTGATAAATGTAACGTCACCTTTAACAATTTTTATCTCAAATACTAATTGATATTTTCAAAAGCGGCCTTTTTCATTAAAAAGCTGATACATTTTTGTATATTTCCTGAAAATTTCATAACGATATCTTTAAAAATCGATTTTTTACGATTTTTTAAAAACTAATTGAGAAGTATCTTAACTCTTTGTGTCCCAAGAAGTCAAACATTTCGAAATTTTGTGACAGGATTAAAACGCTATCAAAATACACTCAGTAAAGGCCTAAAATATGCAATCCCCCTATTTTCGCATAGTCTAAATGTCAAAAAAGATGCTAATTCAAAAATTCCTGGAAACCGTGTTTATTGAAATTAAGAAATAAAACTTATTTTAAATTGAAGCTTGAAGCTTTCTGTTTAAATCGATGTATAACAATCGATGGGTTGAATTAAAAAAATATTGAGAAAAAGAGTATTGAGTTAAAACTAACATTTTCGTATAACCTAAAAGTGTCAAAAAAGATGCTAATTTAAAAATTCCTGGGTGCCGTATTTATTGAAATTAAGGAATGAGACTTACTCTAAATTAAAGCTCAAAGCTTTCTCTTTAAAATGATGTATAATAATTGTTGGGTT